CAGCATTTTTTAACTCATTTACTTTTTTATAATAGAAAACTACTCCCTTTTAACCAGATACACATTATTTTAGATCTAGATCAACAGGTAAGCATAATGTCTACTGAAAATATTAAATATTTAGTTTGTAAATAGATTCCTATCTCAGATGGCAAGATCACATTATATATGTAATAAAAAAAGTAACATACTAAACTCTGCATATCTCTTTAAGATCTACACGGTGTTGCCAAAAAATATCTTCAATACCTAGTTTGGAAAGTAAAACAGAAAATGACTTAAAAATAGTTGCTGACACTGAGGCAACAAATGATGAAAATAAAATTCTTCAATCAAAAAATAATTCCCCTATAAGTAGGTATCAGAAGAAAAGGATTAGAAGAAAGACGTAACTGAAATAAAAAGTCCAACATGACTGTTATCAGAAAAATATCAATTCTGTAGTACGAGACAAACAAAAAAGAATTAAAATAAGGACGAAACATATTCTGTATGTGATGAATTTGGTAGAAATGTAGATAAATATTAAAAGTACGGATATTGGGCACATGCAGAGTGCACGTCTGTTTCAAAGCTGATATTCATAACTGCGAATATTTATTGATATTAGCTTAATTCGTTTGTTTAATATAAATTATATAAAACCTATAGCAGAAAGAAATGGTCATTTTCACGAGGAAAATGATGAAAATGAAATTAAATTCTCCAGAACTCCTAAACACAAAACAAAACTTTGCAACAAAGGTGAAGTACCTAGGTCTCACCTTTGACAGCAAGTCAACATGGAACTCCCACTTAGAAAACAGAGTCAAAAGAATATATTTCGCTTATGAAAATGCCTCAGAACCGTAGGGCTTACTTGAGGTTTCTCCTTCAGATCAGTCACATGGCCTTACACGGCCTATGTTAACATTCGGTGCAGTTTTATGGGTACCGAAAACCCAAAACCCAAAACTTGAGAGCTATCTGCAAACTAGAACAAATTGAAAGAAGAGCATAGCATAACATACCAAGAGCCATGAAAACCATACCAATTAGAGCCATGAAAGTCATTCTTAGTCTCACTCCCCTTGATGTTTACATCAAGAATGTTGCTCTGATGACAATGACGCGCCTCCGCACATTTGAAATAGAACCTAATGTAGGATCTGTTAAGGTGAGACGTAGATTTTGGCAGGAGGCACTCGATAGGCTCCCACTGTTTTAAGCAAACATTGACTGTCGTATAAAAATAAAACAGAACAAATGGAAGAGCCAGAAGTGGCAAGTACGATTAATATCTACACCAACGGTTCTAAAACAAAACAAGGCACAGAATGTGGAATACACTCCAGATCCTTAAATCTAAACATGAAATGGGCTGTTAGCAGTACTGCCAGTGTACTTTAAACAAAGCTCACGAGAATTCTCATAGCAGCAAAAGAAATCACCAGAAACAATATCACTGGAAGAAACATGCTCATCTATAAAGATAGCAGACAAGCACTACTCACCCTAAACAGACCACGAATTTACTCAGGGTTAGTAGTAGCATGCCATAAAGCTTTGGCCGAAGTATCCATCAACAATGTTGTCCCCTTAAAATGGATCAAAGATCTCACCACATCGAAAGGTGACCATCTTGGTGATTCAATAGCCAAGAAAGTAGCTAACCAAATACTTTTTGGACCTGATCCTTCTATTGGCCTGGCAAAATCGGTAGTAACAGACCTACATAAAGAACATTCCTTTGTCAACTGCAAGGAATAATAGGATGAAACAAAAAACTGCAGAGTTGCCAGGAAAATTTTAAATTATTCTGACAACACTAAAACAAAGAAATAATTGACTATGACTAGACATAATCTACGTTTGGTCACAGGCGGGGTCCGAACAAGAAGGTGAGACCATCATATCCTCTACGAGTGCCCGACGCTTTTATTTATTTAAAGAAGCATATCTAGGCAACATTGTCAACTACCTTAAAGGGTGCACAATATGCCTAGTGAGGCCTAAGTGCCGTGGGGTAACCTATTATCCACGCGTAATAGATACAGAATACATTTATGAGAAATTTATTTCTCTGTAAAAAGTGGGAGGTCGTGTTTATAGCTTGCTATTCATAGATAGGTACAAGGAAGGGATATGAACAATATGTACTATATTCCAGTGGTGGAAGCAGCTGTTTAATCTGTCAAATTTAAGAGATAGTTGCTTATTGATGATTTATTCGTTTTGCAAGCATTTTCAGACGTCCCGTTTTGCTATTTTCGTTTTTCTGGTGCTAAGATTGGATTTCCTTTGTTATAGATGTTTAGAAACATATATTTCATTGCTACTAAAAAAAACTAACAAATAGTTTGGATATTTTTACAAAGTCGTAGTAATTTATGTTTGCTTTGTTCCGTAAATAAACATTGTTTTCATTTATATTTAAACTATTAGTTGTTTTCTAATTATTTTAAATACACATATTACTGTTTATTGACTTATTATTATTATTCTTTCTACCCATTTCAAAAACCAGTTGTATAATTATTCGGAGTATTTATGAAGCCTCGACGTTTCTACCCCCAAGGACTATCAGAATCTTTAACGAGTTGCTCGACTATTCTATTATGGGATTATTTTAGTTTTTTATTTCCAACATTTTTTTGAAAAGAAGAATGAATGTTCCTGCATAATGCTGCGTTCGTCTCATAATATTATATTGATAACAATAGTTAAATACAAATTTGTTATTACACTGATGACAAACGGTGGTTCTTTAGACTACTGGATGTTACCAGTAGTAGGGACATAGGAAAATAGCAAGTGAGATAAAGGAATACGTATTTGTTTAGCAATTTTTAGTAGTATTTAGTTTTTTATATTTTAATATGCCTACTAATTTTGTACCAACGTTATCGAATATTGCATTGCATTTTATTCTTACTTGGTTGGTATTCCCCCAACTTTCCCTTAAAACAGTTTATTTTGAGAAACATGTCTGATACTCGACCAGAGATAACAGAGATATAACCATTCATTGATAAAATATAATATTCACGATGCCAACATTAATTCGACAAACGATACACTTCATTGGTAGGGACGGGGCGAGGCAACGAAAGGTGAGAAGTAAGAGAAGAGATAAAGAGAAGAATTTTACGCAGATACAAGTTATTTTTATCAATGAATAAATGTGTAAGCCGCTGTGCGCTTATAATAAACAACGTAAATATCCATGTCGGTGTAAGCCCTGTTGGCACTTCTACTTCCAGTAGGTTTTGGAATTATTTCAAGATTATTACATCTAATTTAGTTAAATTTGATATAACTAATGATTCAAAAATTTTTGGGTTCAGTTGCAATAAAATAGGTTGAATTATTTTAGCTTTTTTATTATATGAAAATAATTTTGTAAACAAAACGAGAATAATGAAATAGGCATATGAAAATAGTGGATATCATACCCTCATGTAAGAGACAATATGTCTTATTCAAGACCGCACGATATTTGTTAGTAGTTATCTCTGCACTCGACTGAGTTAATTTTGGAAGCCAGCGCTAAAATTTGATATTTACATCAAGAAATGAATGAAGAGTAATGTTGGGTTTTGATTTTTACCTTTAGTTTCACTTAATTGCAATTTAATTCAGGTTACATTAAGGATATTGGAAACTCATTTTATTTTAAACGCATTATAAAATCATAATTTTAAATAAAAAAAAAATGAAAATTGTATAACAGTTTTGTGTAAAAACCTTTCTTTGGTCTCCTTTCTCAAAGGCATAAATATAAGTTTAAATTGACTAAATTGTCAACACTTCTTATTATCAACTCACCAAGCTAATTATAACGCCACTTTCTTTGTTCTTTGTATCGAATCAACTAACCGCTGCTAGCTGCAAACTACCTTAACTAAATTAACTAACTTACCGTAAGTAAGCCTAGAATTGAGTTTCAGTTTTAGTTCCCAGTATTTATGCAAGAACGTGTCGTCGTCGGGTCGTTCAAACAACCTTTCTCGAAATTCTCCGCCATTCAGATGCACCGGAACGCACCGGAAAATAAAGCAAAACCACCAACTCGGCAACGTCGGAACGGCCATCGAGTAAAAGGCGAGGACGTCGAAAACGGCAAAACCTACAAAAACTTTAACTAGCCACAGATGAGACCGCTCCGCTTTTGTGATCCAGCTAGCCAGTCCGGTACAGTTCTTGTTTGAAATACACCATTTGCCGGTCTGTGCATGTGTAGTGGATATTATTTTGTCATGGTTTACGAAGATTGTTCACTAATTTCGTATATCAACTTGGTCAACCTAATGATTAAATTCTTATTCCGTAATTATAAATTCCTGAAATTTGGTTGTGATGAAACGAACCGATCTTTTTAGCGTTTAAATTGATTGAAATCTGAAATTGTTGACAGACAGAGCGTTGTTGTTAACAAGTTAACAGTAAATAGCATATTGCTTAATGAGTAAGGCTTATGTTTCACTATAACAATAATTCTCAGGTTTATTGGTATAGATTTATGAATTTGGAAATCTGTAATTAGGCTTCGATGCTTCTTTGTCAGCAGTTCTCTTGATATTTTTTTTTGTTTTTGGTTTATTTGCTTTAGGAACGCATTCGGAAATGCCCGTTTAAAATATATCAAAGCGCTGAATATTAGATAAAATAATAATATGCATTGAGGAAAATATAAAATATGTAAGTTATTTTGTTTTTGTTTATTATACTAGGCCACGTGCCCAAATGCCCTTACGGGCAAACCGCCACTGGTTACTTGTATCAGGAAAAAGTAACAGTCATAGGGTAACATTTATGGAAGGATACAAGAAATGTCATTATTGCAGAAAACAAGGACACATAGAAGCAGAATGTAGAAGTAACATCCGGGACAATATGGGAAAACAGGAGACAGATCCTGTTTTTATTGCGAAAAACGTAGATACTGGGGTTAGAGACTGCAAAAGCAAGGCAGCGGAAAAAATAGGAACACATGTCAGGAAAAACATAAGTTTCAACTGATGAACTGGAACAACGAACAAGAAGGATCCTACAGGAGACACAACAATGAATACAGATATGAAACACGAAGGAACGACACATACCAGGATGGAACGAACCGTACACAGAGGGACTTTTCGAGAGCGTCACAAGGAAAAAATCTAGGATACGATATGGATAAATACAGAGGAAACAGAGGCAAAGACTACAGAGATTTCAGAGATTTTCGAGATGCAAGAGATTTCAGTGTTGCCAGAGATCCAAGAGGGTCCAGAGGTGCCAGAGCAGCCAGAGATGTCAGAGAAGCCAGATATTCTAGAGATTTATGAGATGCCAGAGAAGCCAGTTATTACAGAAATTTCAGACATTATAGAAATTCCAGAAATTACAGAAATTATAGAAATTCCAGAAATTCCAGAAATTCCAGAAATTCCAGAAATTCCAGAAATTCCAGAAATTACAGAAATTCCAGAAATTCCAGAAATTCCAGAAATTCTAGAAATTCCAAAAATTCCAGAAATTCCAGAAATTCCATAAATTCCAGAAATTCCAGAAATTCTAGAAATTCTAGAAATTCTAGAAATTCTAGAAATTCTAGAAATTCTAGAAATTCTAGAAATTCTAGAAATTCCAGAAATTCCAAAAAATTCAAAAATTCCAAAAAATTCCAAAAATTCCAAAAATTCAAAAAATTCAAAAAATTCAAAAAATTCCAAAAATTCCAAAAATTCCAAAAATTCCAAAAATTCCAAAAATTCCAAAAATTCCAAAAATTCCAAAAATTCCAAAAATTCCAAAAATTCCAAAAATTCCAAAAATTCCAAAAATTCCAAAAATTCCAAAAATTCCAAAAATTCCAAAAATTCCAAAAATTCCAAAAATTCCAAAAATTCCAAAAATTCCAAAAATTCCAAAAATTCCAAAAATTCCAAAAATTCCAGAAATTCCAGAATTTCCAGAAAATTTAGAAATTCTAGAAATTCCAGAAATTTCAGAAATTTCAGATATTCCAGAAATTCCAAAAATTTCAGAAATTCCAGAAATTCCGGAAATTCCGGAAATTCCGGAAATTCCAGAAATTCCAGAAATTTTAGAAATTTTAGAAATTTTAGAAATTTCTGAAATTTCTGAAATTTCTGAAATTTCTGGAATTTCTGACATTTTTGGAATTTCTGGAATATCTAAAATTTCTAAATTTTCTGGAAATTCTGGAATTTTTGGAATTTTTTGAATTTTTGGAATTTTTGGAATTTTTGGAATTTTTGGAATTTTTGGAATTTTTGGAATTTTTGGAATTTTTGGAATTTTTGGAATTTTTGGAATTTTTGGAATTTTTGGAATTTTTGGAATTTTTTTGGAATTTTTGAATTTCTAGAATTTCTGGAATTTCTGGAATTTCTGGAATTTCTGGAATTTCTGGAATTTCTGGAATTTCTGGAATTTCTAGAATTTCTGGAATTTCTGGAATTTCTGGAATTTTTTAAATTTTTGGAATTTCTGGAATTTCTGGAATTTCTAGAATTTCTGGAATTTCTAGAATTTCTGTAATTTCTAGAATTTCTGGAATTTTTAGAATTTCTGGAATTTCTGGAATTTCTGGAATTTCTGGAATTTCTGGAATTTCTGGAATTTCTGGAATTTCTGGAATTTCTGGAATTTCTGGAATTTCTGGAATTTCTATAATTTCTGTAATTTCTGGAATTTCTATAATGTCTGAAATTTCTGTAATAACTGGCTTCTCTGGCATCTCATAAATCTCTAGAATATCTGGCTTCTCTGACATCTCTGGCTGCTCTGGCACCTCTGGACCCTCTTGGATCTCTGGCAACACTGAAATCTCTTGCATCTCGAAAATCTCTGAAATCTCTGGAGTCTTTGCCTCTGTTTCCTCTGTATTTATCCATATCGTATCCTAGATTTTTTCCTTGTGACGCTCTCGAAAAGTCCCTCTGTGTACGGTTCGTTCCATCCTGGTATGTGTCGTTCCTTTGTGTTTCATATCTGTATTCATTGTTGTGTCTCCTGTAGGATCCTTCTTGTTCGTTGTTCCAGTTCATCAGTTGAAACTTATGTTTTTCCTGACATGTGTTCCTATTTTTTCCGCTGCCTTGCTTTTGCAGTCTCTAACCCAGTATCTACGTACCAGAAATTCCAGAAATTCCAGAAATTCCAGAAATTCCAGAAATTTCAGAAATTTCAGAAATTTCAGAAATTTCAGAAATTTCAGAAATTTCAGAAATTTCAGAAATTTCAGAAATTTCAGAAATTTCAGAAATTTCAGAAATTTCAGAAATTTCAGAAATTTCAGAAATTTCTGAAATTTCTGAAATTTCTGAAATTTCTGAAATTTCAGATATTCCACATATTCCATAGATTCCACAGAACTTTCGTCGAGGACGAGAGCTCTAGTTTTTTGGGACACTACGTCCTAAAACAAAGTAATGTGTAAAGTTTTTGTGCAGCGATTTGTGAATTATGGGTAAATATGTTTAACTTATTTTTAGAGTGTTTTGTTTGATAATAATTGATTTACATATAAATTCCAATTTTACATTTTCGTCCCGAATTATCATATTTATCTTATAAATAAAGTTGAAGTTTTGTTAAATTGTTAAAAAGTCCAAACTGTATAGTTCAATGAAATGTTTATATATTGTCAAAATTCTTTATTTAAAGTTTGGATATATTAACAAGTAGTGATTTATCCCCAAAATGTAATTTTATTCATTCTTTCTTAAGACTATTAGTCAAATTTTGTACTTATTGTAAATGTACATTTGTTTATGTTTTAATACTCTCCCCTCTTTCCAAACCAGTAAAATATTCCGAGCATTTGAGAAGCCTTGGCGTTTTTATTCCCTTAGAACTAAAAGAGTCTAAAAATAGTTGCCAAGAAACGCTTGACTATGCTATTAAGGGATAATTTTTGTTGGTTTAGTTTAATTTTTTTTATTATTTGTATTTGCCACTGGTCAATGGAGGTTCCTTCAGGACTCCAGGACCCTTTGGCTGGTGACAGTGCTGCCCTAATCCCTTAATAGTATATTAACAATAGTTGCTAAAGACCTATCAGTAGTTACAAATGGTTTATAGGCTAGTTGGTTGTTACATTTAGTGACAAGTGGTGGTCTTCAGGCTTCCCGGTTGTTACACAAATAGTAAACCCCTTAAAAAAAGGATCCATATTTGTGATGGTCGATTTTATGAGAACTGTGCTTTCACTTCAGAATTAATTGTTTGTGTTACTGTTTCATAAAAGATTTGATATAATGTTTACAGTTTTTATTATTGAACGATGTTTCTAAGTCAATCGAACGTGAAGCGCACCTAGGGTTCTTCTCCAAGAGTTATCACATCAACTTACATACATGGCCATCATAAGACAAGACGGTGCAGTTATTTAGGTACCGATAACAACTGTCTCAGAAATTGGAATAAATAGATATTTAAATGTAAGCATAAAGAAAACCAGAAGTTATACTTAATCCTACTCCTCTTTGTATTTACATCAGGTAGGCAGCTTTGAGGACAATAATATGATTCTGCATGAATGAAATAGGACCAAGAAGGTAAGATGAAACAAACATCTGCAGAATTGGAAACTAATATTTAAATATGACCATACTCTATTCAACTTAAACGCAATTAACGCGTTAACACAATAGCCGCTTGACCACAGCATGATACGCACAAACCCGACTGGTATTGGTCAGCCCAGTGATCCGATTTTGAACGTTTCCCTACCCACTAGTTCAATGTGCTGTGGTCAAGGAGCTATTGTGTTTACGCGTAACTTGCGTTTAAGTTGAATAGAGTTTGGACATATTCTGTGCCTGAGCACAGTTTTTCTGGCTTACCATGTAAGGAAGCAACTTCAGAGCATTGGGCAGTCAGAAACCGCACTCTGCAGGTAATTCAAACAAGAAGTTTAGAAAGAAAGGCACTTCTTGGCGTTGTTTCCAACTACATTAAATCTGTAGGCTAGCTGACGAACCAAGAGATGCCTATATTAATTTAGGAGAATGTACAAAGGTCCCTTATTTTCCCTGATACACATATATAAAACATCATGAAATAAAATTGTTTTTATTAAGTACTCGGATTTCAGTGTAACTTGCTATAATAACAGGAATATTCCAACATTAAATTTTGATAAATTTACACAGCATTTTGCGGTCGTTTATACCACTATTATAGCTGGCATGCATTTTGAACAAAATTAAACTAAACGTGTTATTACGTTATATTTTCCGCGATCATAATTAATTTGGATGTACTGACTGACCTACGAAACCATGATCGATTATTCGTTAATGAACTCAGACTGTTCGTGAAATAAATCATCAGCGAAAATGGAGGTATCGATGTTTAGTTGGTATTTAAAATTAAAGTTTGATCGCCGATGCTGTCGTGCATTCGACAAATTTTCTGTCCAAGTAAATAATTATAATATATCCGCATGTTTTTGATTTTGCTCATCATGATGCTGTTTGTGATACGTCATGAGTTAATGAATGCTTGTATTGCTTTATGGAAGTCGTGAGTTTTCATGAAAAAAACTGTACTTTATTGTTTATCAGGGAAAATATTTTAATCCAGAAACATTTCAAATGTGTAGGTGGGGCCTAGTGTTTGGATTTGACGTTTCCTCTTGCATACACTCATTCTCTTGTTTTGTGACACTGACGTCAAATTAGTATTGGTATCGATGCTGAATTTTCGTATCAAACGCACTAAGTACCAAATTCATAATTATAAAATAATTAAAAAAGCTACTTAACTAAGTCTATTTTTCCCTTTAACGCATTCTTATTTTAATTCACATAACCTTTGTGAAGATATTGGAAATCGTTTTTATAACTCTTCTAAGCACTTATTCAGAAAATTTAGAGTTTGGCAGTTGGGCAAGATTTAAAACAGGCAACCAAATAAACGTCTAGGTGTAAAACTGGTTGCATGCTCTTAAGTATCCAATTTCATAAAATAAATACGTTTAGTAACTTTTAAAAAAGAAAATGAAATTAATTTATTGAATAAATACAAAACAGTAATAAACATTCTACTCAAAGACAATTGGAATTTAAATTATTCATTGGTCAAGTGGAATATTTAGTGAACTATTCGGATATTACTGAAAGTGAAATCACTCGTAGATGTGTTCAGTAGCGGTAAAATTAGTGAAAAAAAAAAGTTAAGTTAAGTTAATAATTAATGATATCCCTTAAGCTTAGGCTTAAGGGTGTACACGAACGGGACTACGTCTACCCCATTTGTACTGGGGATAGGGGGAGTAGCGGTATTTCCCCAAAATTAACACTTTCCACATGGTGCCTTAAGCACACATGTGGAACTTTAAAATTGATCTCTTTCGAAACCACCTCCATTAGATGGAGACAGGCGAGGTTCAAGATTGAACAGTATCCAACCTCAAATGAGGGAGGCAGTATGTGCCAATTTTTACAATTTTTTACAATTTTTACAATTTTTACAATTTAAAATTTTTAATTCAACATACTTAATTTTTTCTGTGGACACATAGTGGTAAGACACCTAGCATTTCTATAAAAACGTTTTGTTATCCTAAATTATTATTGCAGATTGTACCTACCTACCTACTCACTTACCTGATGATGACCTTTTAGGTCGAAAGCGCTTGCAACCCAACCTAATAAATTTATGTAGTCGACAGACTTTGAGCCTTTTACTTCCCTTTAATCTACTTCGGACCACTTTGAGATATGGATAATATTTGGAATTGAAAACTATTCGTTGAATCGACCCTACTCAGTTGAAATCGAAAGATAAATTCGTGGGTTACCACAAAAGACACCGAACCCAGCCTTTGACAACATCAATCGCTGTCCCACATGAAACAGGACTCTTAGTTCAAGTAACCACGACATGACTCCTAATACAATACCTATCGATGAATAATAACAAAAAAGGTTAAAAACACATGATGTTATCCTGTTAATCCCCGTAGTGACCAGCAAAATCCGTGAACTTAAATGCCTTCATCAGCACTAGAATCAAAAATTCTAGATCCAAGAGACACATCACAATACATAGATTAGAGGTATGTAACCCTTTTTAATATTTAAACCTTTATTTAGTGCGAAAAGGTCATCTCAATGATAAACAGTAGTAAATAGTCGGAGGGATTCGCATAGTAGCAAAAGAAGTAACCACAAACAATATCACTGGAAGGAACATATTCATCTATTCAGATAA